GATGACCAAATGTCTCTGTTCCCTCATAACCCCTGACAAGAAACTTCTTTAAAACTACAGCCTGAAATATATCTAGTGTAGGATAATAGAAAAGTAGAAGGAAAGGAAGTGATATTTATAATGAGTAGGACAATGACATAACCAAAATAAAGCAATTCTTCTTCAACATTACTTTTTTCCAGCTTAATTTCTCATTGATTACTATTAATTTATGTATCACTCTTCTAGTAATTTAACAAATACGGTTTCAAATTCAAGGGAATTTTTAAAATCTTATCTTTCTTTTCCATTCAGACCTCATTATTATTGTACTTAATATTATAATTTAGAATTTACCTTAAGGTATCTCAGGACCATTGAACATCTTCTAGTGTAGTAGGGTGATTTGTTTAGCACTAATGTTTATAACTTGACAGTGTTCCAATAGTCTATTTTCTGCATTCTGACATGAGTCAGTCATTTAATTATGTTTAATAAAATCCTGACATGATCTCATTAATGTTGCACCAAAGGCAGCACCACTTATTCCTCTAAATTCCTCTAATTCTTTTTTCTTTCCTTTTTTGTTTTCTTTTTCTTTGCTTTTTTTTTTTTTTTTAAAGTCAGGCTCTGTCGCCCAGGCTGGAGTGCATTGGTGTGATCTTGACTCATACAACCTCTGCCTCCCAGGTTCAAATCATTCTCCTGCCTCAGCCTCCCCAGTAACCAGGAATACAGGCATGTGCCACCACGCTTGGCTAATTTTTTGTATTTTTAGTAGAGACAGGATTTTGCCATGTTGACCAGGCTGGTCTATAACTCCTGACCTCAGGTGATCCACCCACCTTGGCCTCCCAAAGTTCTGGGATTACAGGCATGAGCCACTGCACCCAGGACCAGTTATTCCTCATACCTCCAATTCTTAAGAGTTATTGTCAGTCTCAAGTAGGCACATTGGAAGTATCTTTTGCTTGAGTGATCTGAAACCTTAAAATTTATTATTTTTTTTCTTTTTTAGACAGAGTCTCACTCTGTCACCTAGGCTGGAGTACAGTGGCATGATCTCGACTCACTGCAACCTTCGCCTCCTGGGTTAAAGTGATTCTCACGTCTCAGCCTCAAAGTAGCTTGGACTACAGGTGTGTACCACCACGCCCGGTAATTTTTTGTATTTTTAATAGAGACGGGGTTTCACCATGTTGGCCAGGCTGGTGTGGAACTCCTGACCTTAGGTGATCCACCTGCCTTGGCCTCCCAAAATGCTGGGATTACAGACATGAACCACTGCGCCTGGCCTGAAACCTGAAAATTTTAAAGTAAAATCAGCTAGGCCGGGCATGGTGGCTCACACCTGTAATCCCACTTTGGGAGGCTGAGGTGGACGGATCACAAGCTCAGGAGTTCGAGACCAGCCTAGCCAACATAGTGAAACCCCATCTGTACTGAAAATACAAAAATTAGCCCGGTATGGTGGCAAGCGCCTGTAGTCCCAGCTACTCAGGTGGCTGAGGCAGGAGAATCCCATGAACCCGGGAGGAGGAGGTTGCAGTGAGCCAAGACATTGAGCCAAGACATGAGCTAGAGTCATTGCACTCTAGCCTGGGTGACAGAGTGAGATTCCATCTCAAAAAAAAAAAAAGAGTAAAATCAGCTGTAACTCACAACTAGTTCCTGCAGCATTCTACTTATTGATTTCCCTTTTAACTTATTATCTACATATGTTTACCTTTATGGTTTGTAGTTTATCAAGTGGAGAAGGTAATAGTGACACTAGATAAATTTACTGATTAAATAATGGAATACTGGCTGGGCGCGGTGGCTCACACCTGTAATCCCAGCACTTTGGGAGGTCGAGGCAGGTGGATCACCTGAGGTCAGGAGTTAGAGACCAGCCTGACCAACATGGTGAACCCTGTCTCTACTAAAAATACAAAAATTAGCCGGGCGTGGTGGCACTTGCCTGTAATCCCAGCTGCTCAGGAGGCTGAGGCAGGAGAACCGTTTAACCCGCCACTGCACTCTAGCCTGGGGGACAGCAAAACTCGATCTCAAAAAATAAAATAAAATAAATGAATATCAATATTAAGTATGCTTTATTGCAAAAAGATACATCATTTATTCAAAAAATGTAGTAAACATTTTGTGTACAAAAATGCAATAAAAGACCTATCCAAAGCCTGGGCGACAGTGCAAGACTCCGTCTCAAAAAAAAACTGAAAAGGTGCTCATCCTCGTTGTATTTAGAGAAATGTAAAATTAAAACCACTACTCATATGTAATAGAATTTCCAAACTTAAGTAATCTGATATCAAGTGTTGGTAGAAATGTGAAGACACAGCAACTGTTAATGACTAGTAGATACACTTTGGATAACAGTTTGGGAATATCTAATAACATTATACATACACATACTGTATGATCCAGAAGTCCTAGTCTTAGAGCGTCAGGAATAGGATTTTGTCTCTGTTTTCCAGAGAGACAGATAACAGAATTCAGGAAAGTAAGATTGATTAAAGATTACAACGTAAAAGAGAACTCCAATTTGGATAGGTTTTTTACTGCATTTTTGTTTGAATACTTGATGTATCTTACTGCAATAAAGCATACTTAATATCGATATTCTCAAAATGCGGTCTGGGAACCCATGGGAGGTTTCCAGGAGAGGTCCATGAAGTCAAAACTATTTTTACAATAAGATCAAGATGTTATTTCCTTTTTTCACTCTCATTCTCTTGCAAGTGTACAGGTGGGGTATTGGTGTCATAGCAAGGAATATTCATGTTATCTACAAAGGTTATTAAACTGTACCTTCTTTTCCCAAACTACTTTGTGAGACTGGATTTTTTTCGTATACTTCAATGAAAACAATATATTGTAACATAATCCAAAACAGGAAAATTCAGTTGTTTTCTATTAAGACAGACCTTAAAGATTTGCAAAAATGTAAAACAGTGCTACTCTTATTAAATATTCTTTCCTTTAGAAAATTTATTTTGAGGCCGGGTGCAGTGGCTCACGCCTGTAATCCCAACATTTTGGGAGGCCGAGGCAGGCAGATCACGAAGTCAGCAATTTGAGACCAGCCTGGCCAACATGGTGAAACCCTGTCTCTACTAAAAATACAAAAATTAGCCAGGCATGGTGGCGGGCGCCTGTAACCCCAGCTACTTGGGAACCTGAGCCAGGAGAATCGCTTGAACCCGGGAGGCGGAGGTTGCAGTGAGCCAAGAATGCACCATTGCACTCCAGCCTGGGAAACAAAGTGAGACTTCATCTCAAAAAAAAAAAATTATTTTGTTTTGGGGCCGGGTGCAGTGGCTCATGCCTGTGGTCCCTAGCACTTTGGGAGGCAGAGGTGGGAGGATTGCCTGATCTCAGAAGTTCGAGACCAGCCTGGGCAACATGGCAAAACCCCATCTCTACTAAAATACAAAAAAATTAGTCGGGCGTGCGGCTGTAGTCCTAGCTGCTCGGGAGGCTGAGGTAGGAGAATTGTTTGAACCCGGGAGATGGAGTTTGCAGTGAGCCGAGATCATGCCACTGCACTCCAGCCTGGGCGACAGAGCAAGACTCTGTCCCAAAAAAAAAAAAAAAAAAAGAAAAGAAAATTTATTGATAATCGGGTACCATGGCTCAGACCTGTAGTCCTAGCAGTATGGGACACCAAGGCAGATGGATTGCTTGAGTCTGGGAGTTCGAGACCAGCCTGTGCATCATGGCGAAACCCCGCCTCTAATCAAAATACAAAAGTTAACCAGATATGATGGTGCATGCCTGTAGTCCCAGCTACTTGGGAGGCTGAGGTGGGAGGGCCACCTGAGCCAGCGAGGCTGAGGCCACAGTGGCCGTGATCACACCACTGCACTCCAGCCTGAGTGACAAAGTGTGACACTGTCTCAAAAAAAAAAAAAAAAGTTTATTTCTTTTCAGAAAGTTTTATTATTTGTTATGTAATAAATTTTTTAAGTGAATTAAGTATTTTATAAACATTTCTTAGTTTTAGTTTCTAATACAATAGTATTGAGAGATATAACCCACATAAGGAAAAACTCTTTTGGACTCTTAGTAACTTTTAAGAGTACAAACAGATCCTGAGAACTAAAAACTCTGAAAACCTCTGCCCTAGAAAAATGCATGCAGAGTGCACCAAGAGACATGTATAAGCATGTTCATCGCAATATGATCCATAATGGTCTAAAACTCAAAGCAGTGTAAAAGTTTATCAATGATAGATGAATAGGGAGTATTCTAAATATTACACAGAACTAAAAACTAATGAACTCTAGGTATGTGCAACATCAATAAATCTGAAACGTAAATGTTAAATGAAAAAGTCAGACTCAAAGTAATACATATTGTATGATTACATTCATGTATTGTTCAATGATATGCATAAAAATCTTTAGGAATGCAGACTTAGGTAATTAAAATATGCCAATTCCCAAATAATCCATAATAACTGTTGCCCTTGGGAGAAAAAAGATGCTATATTGGGAGGAGATGCTAGCAATGTTTTATTTCCTGATGTGGGTGGTAGTTACATAGGTATTTTTTGCTTTATATTCATTAAGCTTTATACTCATAAGTGTACTTTTTGATGTAACTATTTTCACATTAAAGTTCTTTAAAACAAGTAGAAATTTTCTTATAAAATGTGGGTAAATACTTTAGATTCAGTTATTTCAACTATAAAATTTGGATAAAAATAATTTCATCAGTCTCCTTTTAAAAATTTGACTAAGCAAAATATTCATGACACTACATTTTTGTTTAAACATAGTGCTATTTCAATCTATATTTATTCCCATATGTTGTGTCTTTATTCTCCAGATTGATATATTGGTTTGTCCTTTTTAACCAAATATTTTATACATTCTCATTAATTATACAAAAATTTGGACTTGAAGCTATACTATCAAATAACAACTGTGATAAATATTATTATCTTAGCACAGTGCAAACAGATTATCTCATTTTTTTTGAATTTTTCATTAAAAAAAATTTTTTTTCATTTGATACAGATAGTCGTGCAAGCACTGCAGTGTTCCCATTACTCGATTCTTTGGCAGTTGGTGAAAATTACTGATGGTTCTCCTTCCAAAGTAAGTAAGAGTTTCTGTAGGCAGAAGGATTATTACTGAAATAATAACCTTGCTTAACTATTTAATAATTTACTATTATCTGTTATTGTATAATATAAATTATTGTAATATTTAATAAAATATATGATTATTACCAGTTCTTGGTTTATCTTATGAGTAAGTATACATTTACCTCTTTGGGAAGAGCCAGAATCTTCAAGCAAAAGACACATAGTTATGTGTGTGTATATATATGTACACACGCACACAGATTAAAACTTCTTATATAAAATCACTGTAGTAGACACAAGAGCTCTGATAGGTAACATGCTATTAAAAAGAATAACATTGAGGCCGTGCATGGTGGCTCACGCCTATAATCCCAGCACTTTGGGAGGCCAAGGCAGGCAGATCACTTGAGGTCAGGGGTTCAGGAACAGCCTGGCCAACATGGTGAAACTCCGTCTCTACTAAGAATACAAAAATTAGCTGGGCATGGTGGTACCCATCTGTAGTCCCAGCTACTCAGGAGGCTGAGGCAGGAATCACTTGAACCCAGGAGGTAGAGTTGCAGTGAGCTCAGATCACACCACTGCCCTCCAGCCTGAGCGACAGAGTGAGAAAAAAAAAAAAAAAAAAAAAAAACACAAACATTAGCCGGATGTGGTGTTGCGCACCTGTAATCTCAGCTACTGAGGAGGCTGAGGCAGGAGAATCGCTTGAACCCAGGAGGCAGAGGTTGCAGTGAGCCAAGATCGTGCCATTGCACTCCAGCCTGGGCAACAAGAACAAAACTCCATCTCACAAAAAAAAAATAAAGAATAACATCATTGAAAGGTAATAGTATGTAGCTTTTGATTCTGGCAGTATGATACCTAGAGACACAAAGTGAACAACTCTTTTGAAGTTAAAAACAACTTAAAATGTTGGGTAAATTTTTTTTTTATTTTAATGTATCCATGACCATGCAAAACAAAGAAAAATGGGGGCTAGGGATTAAATGAAAAGTAAGATCAAGAAAGCCAGAAAGAGCACTGAAGACTGCTTTACCTTGAGGATCGTTTCTAATGTACAGTCCAAGGTCCGTCCAGGATAGAATGTCTCATAGGTGGCCACATCTCTCAGATTATTTTGGAATCCTAACGAGCTACTCTCAGCACAGTGGTGAACTAGAAATAAACCCACTCCAGTTTCCTTCAGGGGCTGGGGGATTATAAGGAAAAGAGTCTGTCTTAAAATGTGTCATTGATTAAAATGGGGAAAAATAAATCTCCCATGAAAATTTATAACTATGACTTAGCTTTTGCGTAGGTTTTCACCTGAATTCATACTATTTTGATGGTAAAAAAGAAAGAAAAAAAGTTGAGATTTTGATTAAGTGTTCTATAATGGTGATATCCCCAACCACCTAACAAAATCAAATCCAAGTCTCTTCTGAAGGAACTTGCCTTAAAGAATTTTCCACAAGTAAAATCTTAAGCAAAGTGAGCTCACAGCAAAAATATCACTTGTGAAAACAACCATGAAGAGAATCAGACAAAAAATACTTCACATTGGAATTATCTGACACAAATATAAAATAAATGTTTCAGTTATTTCATGTGATGAGAGGCCTGAATGTAAGAAGCAAACATTTGATAAAGAATCAAATAAAGATATTAGTATGTTTGTATATCTTCCTCTTAAGAAAACAAGCTGTTTAAACAGTAAAGATGATTAATGCATTTGCATATAGAACCAACAGCTTGATATGGAGTGTTATTTTTTCAGAGTAAGAATTTTTTTCTTTTCTGAGTAATAATTTGAGGATCTCTGCATTTAGAAAGTAGTAGGATTTTTAAATTCTTTCTAATTAGAAGAATGGTAATATATGGGTTAGCCTCTTGGTTTTTCTCTTTTATTAGTAATTTCAGTCTTAAAAAGCAAAAATAACAGTTAACCTTTTATTAGTAATGAAAGCCACTTTAAAACTGTTACAGCCAGGCACGGTGGCTCGCGCCTCTAATCCCAGCACTTTGGGATGCCAAGGCGGGCAGATCACAAGGTCAAGAGATCGAGACCAGCCTGGCCAATACGGTGAAACCCTGTCTCTACTAAAAACAAAAAAATTAGTTGGGTGTGGTGGCGGGCGCCTGTAGTCCCAGCTACTCAGGAGGCTGAGGCAGGAGAATCGCTTGAACCCAGGAGGCGGAGGTTGCAGTGAACCAAGATCATGTCATTGCACTCCAGCCTGGGCGATAGAGCAAGACTGTCCAAAAAAAAAGGCCAGGCGTAGTGGCTCACACCTATAATCCCAGCACTTTGGGAGGCCGAGGCAGGCAGATCACGAGGTCAGGAGATCGAGACCATCCTGGCTAACACGGTGAAACCCCATCTCTACTAAAAATACAAAAAAATTAGCCAGGCGTGGTGGCAGGCGCCTGTAGTCCCAGCTACTCAGGAGGCTGAGGCAGGAGAATGGCGTAAGCCGAGGAGGCGGAGCTTGCAGTGACCGGAGAGATCGCGGGGCTGCACTCCCACCTGGGCAATAAAGCAAGACTCCGTCTCCAAGAAAAGTAAAACTGTTGTTACACTGCGCATGGTGACTCACGCCTGTAATCCTAGCACTTTGGGAGACCAAGATGGGTGGATCACCTGAGGTCAGGAGTTCCGACCAGCCTGGCTAGCATGGTGAAACCCTGTCTCTACTAAAAATACAAAATTAGCTGGGCGTCGTGGCGCACATCTGTAATTCCAGCACAAGAATCGCTTGAACGTGGGAGGCAGAGGTTTTCGGTGAGCCAAGATCTTGCCACTGCATTACAGCCTGGGCGACAGAACGAGCCTCTTGTCTTTTTTTGAAATGTTCTTTATTGTAAAGTCAAAGGAGATTGAATTTATATATTAAAATTTGTTAGGATAGGTTTAATAATTTTATACAATTGCTTTTATTCTCATCCTTCTGATTGAATTTTTAGATATTTTTTCCCACAGACATCATTTTTGTTGAGTTACTTGCATTTTGGCTAAATATTGAATTTAGTAAATTTAGAATGTGTTATTCCCTAAAAATTTAGCATAATTGATGGCTAATTCCTCCTTGTAAATCTATTCATAATTTAAATTTTTTCTTTTTTCTTTTCCTTTTTTTTTTTTGAGATGGAGTCTCGCTCTGTCACCTAGGCTGGAGTGCAGTGGCACAATCTTGGCTCACTGCAACCTCCACCTCCCGGGTTCAAGCGATTCTCCTGCCTCAGCCTCCTGAGTAGCTGGGATTACAGGTGCATGCCACCATGTCTGGGTGTTTTGTATTTTTAGTAGGGACTGGGTTTCACCATGTTGGCCAGCCTGGTCTCGAACTCCTGACCTCAAGTGATCCGCCCACCTCAGCCTCCCAAAGTGTTGGGATTACAGGTGTGTGCCACTGTGCCCAGCCTAAATTTTGTCTTTTTACAACTATATTCCATAATTGGGATAATAATCTCTGTTCTTCAATCGACTTCTTTGAATATTTTCTATTTTTTAATCTTTTTACAGCAGAATTATTTTGAAATTCCTTGCCTATTTTTGCCTGACATATTCTCCTAATAAAAGATAGTTTTATTTTTTTATTAGTCACATTACGTATTTAATTAGCAATGCAGATTTTGTTGCCAGAACTAATTTTGTTTTGTTTTTGAGACAGGGTCTCACCCTGGCTGCCCACTGTCATGGCTCACTGTGGCCTCAACCTCCTGGGCTCATGTGATCCTCCCACCTCAGCCCCTGAAGTAGCTGGGACTACAAGCGTGTGCCACCACGCCTGGCTACTTTTTTGTTTTTGTTTTTGTTTTTTTGACAGAATCTCACTAGAGTGCAGTGGCGTGATCTTGGCTCACTGCAACCTCCGCCTCCCAGATTCAAGCAATTCCCTTGCCTCAGCATCCCAAGTAGCTGGGATTACAGGTGTCTTCCACCATGCCTGGCTAATCTTTGTATTTTTAGTAGAGACGGAGTTTCACCATGTTGGCCAGGCTGGTCTCAAACTCCTGACCTCAGGTGTTCCGCCTGTCTTGGCCTCCCAAAGTGCTGGGATTACAGGTATGAGCCACCACACCCGGCCACGCCTGGCTACTTTTTTACATTTTTTGTAGAGATGGGGTTTCACCATATTACCCAGGCTGGTCTCGAACTCCTAGACTCAAGCAATCCACCCGCCTCAGCCTCCCAAAGTGCTGGGATTACAGGTGTGACCCACTGATATTCTTTATGCCAGAAAGAATGCTGCGGCGTCTTTTATGTGCTTTATTCATTTGATTTACATTTATAGTTTTGTGTGCATTTATAGCATATGTGAAATTTTTCTTACTTAGATATTTGTCTCAAGTTATTTCTTCTCATTTTGAAGTTGTTGGTAGTTTCTTTAAAAGTCCAAGGTGTATTCTGTAATCATCATATATCAGTTCTGTCTATAATATTAAAATGTTTCTCTAAGTGATAACCTTCAAAAGCATTAATTTTTAAGACACATGCAAACTTTAAAAATTCATGTTTTGGCTGGGTGCAGTGGCTCACGCCTGTAATTCCAGCACTTTGGGAGGCCGAGGTGGGCAGGTCATGAGGTCAAGAAATAGAGATTATCCTAACCAACATGGTGAAACCCCCGTCTCTACTAAAAATACAAAAATTTGCTGGGCGTGGTGGCTCGTCCCTGTAGTCCCAGCTACTCGGGAGGCTGAGGCAGGAGAATCACTTGAACCTGGGAAGCAGAGGTTGCAGTGAGCCAAGATCGCACCACTGCACTCCAGCCTGGCAACAGAGCGAGACTCCATCTCAAAAAAAAGAAAAATCCATGTTTGAGGCTGGAAATGGTGGTTCATGCCTATAATCCTAGCACTTTGGGAGGCCAAGGTGGGCAGATCAGTTGAGGTCAGGAGTTGGAGAACAGCCTGACCAACATGGTGAAACACTGTCTCAACTAAAAATACAAAAATTAGCCAAGTATAGTGATGCATGCCTGTAGTCCTAGCTACTCGGGAGGCTGAGGCAGGAGAATCGCCTGA